GGCAATCCTTCCGCCTCAGCCTTCCAAGTAGCCGGAATTACAGGCATGCACTACCACGCCCGGCTGACTTTTTGATTTATCGTAGAGATGAGGTCTTGCTGACCAGGCGGGTCTCGAACCCACGGGCTCAGGCAATCCACTCACCGCAGCCTCCCAAAGGCACAGGATTACAGGCTGAGCCACCGAGCCCGGCTCCTGATGGTTTCTTTTGCTGTTCAGAAACTTTATAGTTTGATGAGGTCCCACTTGTCTATCTTATCTTTTATGGTATTCGCTTTTGGGAATTTGTTCAAGAATTGGTTGCCTACTCCAATGTGCATAAGAGTGTTTCCTGCATCAAGGGAGGGGCTGTCAGTCACTGGAAACTGCCATGGGAGGAGGGGGTGGGGTGGGGGAAATGTTATGACACAAAGGGTACCTGGTCCTAAACCAGGGGCAGTGAGGGCCAGTTGGAGGCTCAAACTTCACCTGAACACAGCCAATTTGTGTAGTTAGCACTTACTTGTGCCCCACATAATAAAATAAAAATTTATAAAAGAGAAGTACTGTTTTGTTTTTTTTTTTACATTATTCAATGTGGAGATGCTTTCTGGCTACAGCAGGCTTCAACCAGGAAGGCACCCATCATAACCACAATTATGGCGGCCAGACCCAGGCGGATGAGGTTGATGGTGGTATAATCTCTCGATGGAGTACCTGGGGAAACTGAGGGAGAGGAGGGCTCAGCATGGTAAGAGGGTATCCTTCCTTCCTAATAGGGTCTCCAAACCTGACCCTCACATGCTGGGGGCTAAATGCTGGACATCTGTCCCACTGCCCCTCCTTGCTGAGGACTGTGGGGATGACCCCTGGCCAAGGACGTGTGCACCTGGTCAGGATGTTTTTGGAGACATGCACACCTGCATACTCAAGGTGGTTGCTAAGAGGGTAAACATCCCTGTTCCTGTTTCTGTGCACATAATGCTTGTGTGTGTCTCACTCCTTCTCCCCACTGGAGATATACAAGGAGGGACCCCCCAAAAAACTGGAATTATCTTTTGGCAAACAGGACCCTTGTTGTATAGGCTTCCCTCAAAGCCTGTCTAGGTTGCTCAGGTTTATATCAAAATCCTGGACTCAAGCGATCCTCCAGCCTCAGATTCCCAAAGTGTGGGATTACAGGCATGAGCCTCTGTACCCGGCCCCCCTTATTTCTAACTATAGAACACTGAGAGTTCGATTTGGGGAGTATCAATAGCAGTATTGGAAATTGACAGCACAGAGGAAGTAGAGTAAATCATATCTAACAAAAAACAGAATAAGAGGGCAATTTTAGAAAAATTCTGACTGTAAGTATCACAAGACAGGTGTAGACACTCCATCTATAACACAAAAGCAAAATGCTATGGAAACACTGCATTATCGGAATAAGAAAAAGTTACCGGGGGTAAAACCTCTAATGCCAAGATAAACGAACATTTTAAGAGAAGCAGAAAATAGTGAAGGAAATCTATAGATGGTTGGAGTAATAATTTTGAAGGACAACATGGGAAGTTATCCAGGAATACAGAACAGAAAAGGCAAAGGACGGGAATTAGGCAGGGAAAGATTCTTAAAGATGATCATGCAAGTAATAATAAAAATAAGACTAGAATAGCAGAACAAATACTATCTGCGTAAAGAAAAAGAATTCTAAAATCAGCCGGGCATGGTAGCGCATGCCTGTAATTCCGGCTACTTGGAAGGCTGAGGTGGAAAGATGGCCGGAACCCAGCAGGTCAAGGCTGCGGTGGCCGGGAGCGGCCACTGCACTCCAGTCTGGGCGACTGAATGAGACTCCAACTCAAAAAAAAAAAAGAAAAGAAAAGAAAAAGAATTCTTAGCCTGAGCAACATAGTGAGACCTTGTCTCTACAAAAATAAAATAAAATAAAACGAAAAAATTAGCTGAGCAGGTGACATGCACCTGTAGTCCCAGCTACTTGGGAGGCTGAGGCAGGAAGATTGCTTCACCTCTAGAGTTCGAAACCAGCCTAGGCAACATAGTAAGACCTCGTCAAAAAATTAAAACAAAAATTAAAATTAAAATATAGTTCGGTATAGTGGCATGTGCCTGTAGTCCCAGCTACTTGGAGGCTGAGGCAGGAGGTTTGCTTCAGCTCAGGAGGTTGAGGCTGTGGTGAGCTGTGATCATGCCACTGCATTCCAGCCTGGACAACAGAGTGAGACCCCCATGAGAAAGAGAGAGAAATTCTAAAAATAAAAAACACCTTACCTGTCACGAAGATCTCAAGGAGATCACTGGGGCGTGAGGCCCGGAAGGGAGCCCCTGTCTGGTGGTACACACAGCTGTAGTTCCCCGTGTCGCTGACTGTCATGTTCTCGAGGGAGAACTCCATCCTGGCTCCTTCTGAAGCCTTTTGCTGGATGGGCGACAGAGTTCCCGCCTTCAGTAGTGTGAAGAGGATAGACTCTGTCGAATGGTCTGGCCGTTGGCACTGCAGAGTCACCTTTTCTCCAGCGATCACCATGCCCCTTTGGTGGGCTTGGAGGGAAGGTTTCGGCAAATATTCTGGAAGAGAAGGAAGGTTCCCAGGTCATGGGGAGAAGCATGGGTCCCCCTTTGGCTAGGTATCCTGGCAAGAAAAGTCACCAGCAGCAATGGGAAGATGGGGAGTGGAGCGGATCTCAAGGAAAAAGCAGAATTCTAGCAGGAAATGGAAGTGATTGTGGAGGGAGCCGTGAGACATCAGGAGAGACGGCTCCATGACACAGAGGCAGCAACCTATGTCTGAGAACAGAACTCATGGCTGGGAATAAAATAAATAATACAATTTTTTTTGAGTTAGGGTCTTGCTGTGCTGCCCAGGCTGGAGTACAGTAGCATGATCACAGCTCACTGCAGGCTTGACCTCTTAAGCTCAGATGATCCTCCTACTTCAGCCTCCTGAGTAGCTGAGACTATAGGTGGGCACCACTGTGCCTAGCTAATTTTTCTCTTTTTTTTCTTTTTCTCTTTGTAAACACAAGGTCTTGCCAGGCACAGTGGGTCACGTCTGCCATCCCAACACTTGGGGATGTGGAGGCGAGAGGATTGTCTGAGTCCAGGAGTTTGAAACTAGCCCGGCAACTTGGCAAGACCTTGTCTCTACATTAAATTAAAAAATTAGTCGAGTGTGGTGGTGCGTGCCTGTGGTTCTGGCTACTTGAAAGGTTGAGGAGGAAGGATCACCTGAGCCCTGCAAGTTGAGACTGCGGTGGCATGAGCGTGCCACTGCGCTGCAGCCTGGCGACAGAGTGAGACTCTGATTTTAAAAAAAAGAGTCTCACTCTGTTGCCCAGGCTGGTCTACAACTCCTGGGCTCAAGTAATCCTCCAGCCTCAGCCTCTCAAAGCGGTGGGATTACAAGCATGAGCCACCAAGCCCCCGGCCAACTAATACTAAGATTAACCAGAATTTTAACAGATCCACTGGGGAGCAGAGGGACTTTAGGTGATAGTGGGATTATTAATGAACAACATGGGAAATTATCTAAGAATTCAGGAAACAAAAAATTAAGAGAGTAGAAATCATGAAAAGGGAGATTTATAGAGAGATGAAAGTACACATGACAGGCAAATGAGATTGAAGGAATAACTAAATGAGCTCTGATTTAATTTAATTTAATTTTTTTAGCATTCAAAGAATATTTTTATTAGATGGTAATTAATATTCTCTATTACTCTGAATGACTATGTTACTTGAGTATACCAACTAATTTTCTTTTTCTTTTTTTTGAGTCAGAGTCTCACTCTGTCACCCAGGCTGTAGTGCAGGGGCACACTCATGGCCACCGCAGCCTCAACCTGCTGGGCTCAGGAGATCCTTCCACCTCAGCCTTCCAAGCAGCTGGAATTACAAGCACAAGCCACCATGCCTGGCTGATTTTTTTTTTTTTTAATTGTAGAGATGAGGTCTTACCAAGTTGCCCAGGCTAGTCTCCAACCCGTGAATTCAGGCAATCCTCTCAACTCAGCCTCCCAAAGTGCTGGGATTATAGGCGTGGGCCACCACGCCCAGCCCAACTAATTTTCTTTAAGAGACATTTCATACATTAATGCATAGTAAGTATTTGGGGTTTTTTTACTTGTTAATATAGTTAAAATGGTGTTGAAAAACAGGTTGAGGTTTATTTATTAAGCCTGATACTTAAACTATCTTAACTTAGTCAATTATTTAATATTTCTTATTTTCAGATTTCTTTTAATATTGAAGATGTGGGATACAATTCAGGATTTCATTGTAAGAAAACATCTCCTGCCAGGCATGTTGGTTCATGCCTATAATCCCAGCACTTTGGCTGACCAAGGCCGGAGGATCACTTGAGCCCAGGAGTTTGAGACCAGCCTGGGCAACATAGCGAGAACTTCTTTCAACAAAAATAAAAGTAAAAAATTATCTGGGCATGGCAGTGTGCACCTGTACTCTCAGCTACTTGGGAAGCTGAGACAGAAGGATCACCTGAGCCCAGGAGGTTGAGGCTGTGATGAGCCGTGAACATGCCACTGCACTCTAGCCTGGGTGACAGAGTGAGACCCTGACTCCAAAAAAAAAAAAAAAAAAAAAGGAAAGGAAAAAAATATCTCCTAAAAATCATGCACAGCCTTACCTGTCACCAAGACCTCAAGCTGATTGCTGGGGTCTGAGGCCCAGAAGGGAGGCCTTGTATGGTAGTACACACAACTGTATTTCCCAGTGTCACGGACGGTCACATCTTCAAGGAAGAAGTCTGTCTCCTTCCCTGTGGGACTCTGCAGCTGTATGGGTGACGAGGTTCCTGCCTTCAGGAGAGCGAACATTATAGGCGCAAAGGCATTGTGGTCTGGCTTCTGGCACTGCAGAGTTACCTTTCCTCCTGCGGCCACTGTACCCCCTTGGTAGGTCTGGAGGGAAGGTTTAGGTAAATTGCCTATAAGAGAAGTTGGGCCCTGAGGTCATGGGGGAAGCCTTGGCTCCCCCGCTACCCCTTGTTCTCCTGTCAGGGGCTCTCATGGAGTGTGAGAAGTTACAGATATCTGATGTCTCCCACTTTCTCTCTTCCTTTCTATTTTTATTTTTTAGAGATAAGGTCTTGCTCCATCACCCAGGCTGGAATGCAGTGGTGCAATCATGGCTCACCAGCCTCAACCTGCTGGACTCAGGCCCAAGGAGCTGGGACTACAGGTGCATGCCATCACACCTAGCTAATTGTTTTAATTTTTTAGAGATGGGGTCTTGCTATGTTGCCCAGGCTGGAGTGCAGTGGCAGGATCATGGCTCACAACAGCCTCGACCTGTTGGGTTCAGGCAATCCTCCTGCCTCAATCTCCCAAGGAACTGGAACTACAGACACAACACCATGCCCGGCTAATGGTTTTAATTTTTTTATGGAGATGGGATCTCACTATGTTGCCCAGGCTGATCCCCAACTTCTGATCTCAAGCGGATCCCACCTTGGCCTCCCAAAGTGCCAGGATTACAGGTGTGAGCCACGGTGCCTGGCCAATCCATCTCTCTCTCTCTCTTTTCTTTTCTTTTCTTTTCTTTTTCTTTTCTTTCCTTCTTTCTTTCTTTCCTTCCTTCTTTCTTTCTTTCTTTCTTTCTTTCTTTCTTTCTTTC